ACCAAGTTAAAGAGATTATCTCCCTTTTTCATTATGACTCTCTTTAAGTGAATTGAAGGATAAGATCAAAGTGCATTCATATTCATGTGAATTATCGCTATTGACTTCAATAATGATGGATTTCATTGTTTTATCTAAACTAAAGCCAGGAATGCTGCTGCTTTTGAGAGTCTGGCTCTAAGGCTATAAAATTTCTTCTATGAGGACTGAAAAAGAATAAAATAAATAAAAACTTAATCAAGCAATTAGGCTTGACAAGCACATCATTTCCACAATGTACTTCCGTACACAGGACTCTATTGGAATCAGTTACATTTCTACAGACTCTTGCCATTCAATTTTTGACTCAGCCTTCTCAACAAGACTCCAAAGTTCAGCAAGTACACTTCCAAAATACTTATGAATTAATTGTAATGAGAAGTTACAGTGATGTTTAGAAAGCTTTTAGCTTATTCACAAATCAAACAAAGTAAATTTATCAGTAGTCAGCTTATGAAAGTGTTTTTGCTTTGAACAGGATTCATCACAGTTGGTTTTTTAGTATAACTGAAGAACTCAGGGTGTGCTTGGGAAAATGTGTTTGCCAGCTGTTTCTTTCTAAATATGCCTCACAACAATTTTCTCAAAATATTCTCAGTTGAGTTTTTCCTCAAACTCTCACACTATTTTCTAAGAGAATGAGGCTACCAGGTTTTGTGAAACTCATTTGTCTAAATGATCGTTCTGCTCAATTAACTTACTAAAAATACTTGAGCACTTCCTAGAAAATTCATTAAATATTGTAAGCTTTTATCATTGAATAATATAAGCAAACTCTAATGCAGGTTTGGGAAAATGCACTTCATGAACCTTAACATGCATGATGTCTCTTTTTATAGGAAGACTAGTGCAAGACGAGTTTATTATCATAGTCTACAATGGATATTAGGAAATATTCTCTCATAAAAAGGTAATTGATATCAGTTACTTGGTAGTCCTTTTAAACTTCTGCCTTATATTTACAGCATTATGCATAAGTGTTTCGTGATTTTTAGCACAAATTTTTGAAATTTCAACGTTTTTCTATACAACTGAGCTGGAAGAAGTCTTATTTCCATTTTAGCCATTATGTTTCTTTAGTATTGCAAGTTTACTGGCAATTTTTTGAGATATGACCATAAACATACTGAAATTATGTATGCCCAAACTTTGTAAACATCTAAGGCCTTTACCTAGATTTATGGATAAAATGATGAGCAATTGAATATTATTTCATCAGAATAAGACACTCCTATAATGCATTTCCTTAAAAGCAAATCTTTCTTACTAATGGGAAAAGTTAGTATTTTTTAATATGTGGTTGATCTTTTACAGTGCTTGTATAAGAACCTTATTCTTCACTCTAAAAATTAAATATGGGCTAATATTGGAATAAGAGATAAAGTAATTGAAATCAGTGGCCTTCAGGAGTTTTCCCTGCCTGAAATATGAAAATGAACTGAAAATCCCAGAAAAGGATGACAATTGCAGTGCAAGCATCTCCCGTGTACGACTGAGATGTAGCGCTACCACGTCCTCGAATTTAGCCTAGTTTTAGCGGAGCTAATAATCTCAGTGGGGAGAACTGATTTACAGAGTGGATAAACAGGAGACGCTATTTTTATTTCAAAAGTTTCAGAAATTTACAAATCTTCTCTGTACTTTTGCAGTCATGTCCAGGAGTTAGATCATACAGTTATTCTCCAAATAATCAATGTACAAGACATTTTGGTTGAGGGACTTGATGTAGCGAAAATAACTACTTAGAAGGGGGCGGGAGGTGGTGGGTGTGTGTGTGTGTGTGTGTGTGTGTGTGTGTGTGTGTGTGTCTCGCACATGCGCGCTGAGGTGCAGCGTCCCACCTCTGTCCTAAAGCAGCTCTCCGGGATCCTGCCTGCGCCAGGTGCTTCATGCACCAGGAGCTGCGGGGTCGCGGGGTCCTCGCGCCCCTCTTCCGACCGCCGAACCCGTCGCCCCGCCTCACGCCCCCAGCCCCCGCTTTCCGGCCGTCGGAGAGCTGATAGGGGCGGAGCAACCGACCCGGCGCTGGAGCGGCGCTCGAACCTCTCTGGACCTACTAGCTTCTGCCCGGCACCCCGCGAGCTCCGCCGTCCCGAACCGAACCCAAGCTCAAGGACGAAGCTCCTTGCGCGCAAGCGCCCCGCCGATCCCCCTCTGACGCCTGGCCGCAGCCCAGAGCCCCGCGGACACGCCGGGGTCCGACCCGCACTCCGCAGCCCCTCCATGCTGGAAACCCGCGGGCCTGGCAGAGCCCTCGTGGACCTTGGGTTCCCGGAAGCCCGCGCCCAGGGCGCCCACCCCTCCTGACTTTGCCTCTTGTAGGAGGGAAGAAATACCCACCTGTTCTCCCAGACAGTGTCCATCGAGAGAAGGCGGAGGCTCCACGGGGTGCTGAGAGCGCCTCTGGCAGCGCTGGCCCTGTTTGCATCTTTGCTTAAGTCTTTAGAAGGAAAATGTCCATGCGTGCACACTAAACAGCAATAATCTGCGGAACTTTAGTGCAAGTTACTGCCTTGGAAAATGTGTGAAGTGATTGGCTCCGCATCAACAGCGACGAGACTTAGTTACCAGTCACTTTGGACTACTTGGTGCCTTCTTTTGGGACCGGGCGAGACCATTGATTGTGGAGCCCCTCTATTAGTAGCCTCTGGGCGTGGAAAAGATGAACTCAATCTCTGTTATCCTCTAAATTACTGGAAAGGACGTCACGCACAGATACATCTTGGGGAGTTAGGACTGGCAAAATCACCAACACCTCTGTGTGCTAGTGGCCATGCCACGGGAAAGAAACAAAAGAACGTCAAAGCTTAAGATGTGTAGAGTTGGCTTTAAAAGGTTTGAAAAGCAGAGAATAAGAACTAGAGTACAGCGCAATGCATGCATAGTTGCGTTAATCTCCTCCCGTGTGGAAGGGTCCAGATCTTTTCTCCAGTCTCACCTGGACAGTCTGCTCAGACCAAAATGTACAATCCTGGACATTATTTTCCCCAATGCGATACTTATAGATTTATTTTTATCCTTGAAAATAGTATTTGGAGCCTATAAATTTAGTTATTTAGTATATAATACCTTTATTTCTAACTCAAATATGCAAATATGAAGTTATTTCAGTGATTTCAGATTTCGTGTTGGCAAAATGATGTATTTCCATGACTTGAATAATTACATACAACTATTAATTGAATTTATTTTAAAATGCTAACACTTTTAATCCTTTTTTTGAGATTTCATATCTAGATAAAATTCAGATTTTTTTTGTTAAAAGTAAGTCGTTTATTATTTAAATATTTTAGATATTTTCACTTTTTAATCTTTCTTACACTAAATTTCTCATCTTTGCTCCCAGAGTCCTTAAGCACTTAAAGCTATCACAGCCCTTAAAACAGTGAGAGGTGTCTGCTTGTTGAGTTAATATAGATGATAGTATATTGCTGCAGAATAAATTAATGTCTTCTTTTACTGGACTTCATGCTATGGAACATAGGCACATTCTCCCATTAGCAAAGTGTTTTACCACATATTGATGTTTAATACCTATTTGACTTGATAGAGGAATATATATAGACTTTAAGCACCTCTCCAAGTTTTTAAAATGTGGATGTTAATATCTAATTGGCACTTATAAAGCTATAATTTTTAAAATTCAATTAGGAGCTGAAAAATACATACATGCAAAAATAAAACCTTTAGGTATGTGTAGAAAATAATGTCATGATAGTTCTGAATTCCCAAGTGAGATTTGTAAAAAACAACAGGATTTTAACTGGCTTTATTCTTTTTGTCAGTGTCATTTTCATAAATAAAGGAATGTAGTGAAAAATTATTTTGAAGTTATATATTATAATTAGCATTTTTCAAAAGAAGCCAATCTCCCAAGCAAACTTCATGGTAACAATTTTTTCAAGTTCTGATAATATTTCATTCTTAATTGTATGTACATTTTTCTGTGTCAATTACATTGTATATCTCTAAAATCAGTTGGTAATTTAAGGACAGTAATCTTTTAACCATTTAATAAATACTGTAGTATCTCTCAGTTCTTTTCTTTTTTCAGTGTTTAGCTGTTGGTTTAAGAGTATGTAACTGATCATGGAACATTCATTTAATTTTGTGAATCAGTGGTATTTTGTTTCAGAGAGAGCTGAAATGGGTCAGAATATATAGATTGATTATCTTGTCAGTAATATGCCATATTTTGCATTTAAATAATAATTGCATCATTTACATGTATATTATGAATGTTCTATTTCTCCATTTAATTTAAAATACTTTTTCAAAAGCTAGAAGAGTAAAGATCTGACTTCTTTGGTATGTCCAATTTCAGATTTGAAGTAGGTATTCTATATTGTATTGTCAGGAAGAATGTGATTTAACTCATGAGCACTTTACTAATGCCACTGTATAGTTTAAAATAATTCTCACACCTTTGAACTTAAGTTTTTAAACTTTGTAGCCATTGTAGCCTCTGTAGGCTTTGTGCAGTTTCTGTATATAGGTTGAATTATTTTCACTATTAAAAGTTTTAACACTTTAAAAGTAGAAAATACATATTAAGGCAAGTACTAAAAATGGCCGGGTATTTAGTAGGGAATTTGAATTGTTTGTTTAAAGATAAACTACACATAGAACCTCTTCATTTTAGTTGGATTTTTTTTCTGCACAATAAAATAAAGAATCAAAAAATTATTTGCAATTTTAATTATTTACTCAGTGTTTCCTCCAACACATCTAAGTAGGAACACACAACTTTTCAAGGACTGGTTCTTGTAGGACAATGCAGAGATCATTGTGAATCTATGGTCTAGAATTAAGTAGATTTGATTATTGCTGCCTATTAAGCAAAAAGACATGCCTACTCTGGGGGTCTGGCCGAACACATTTCCTTTCTCTGTTTTTTTTTTTTTTTCCTTTCTCTGATTGATGGCCCATTCCTCTACTATTTGGGGGCTTCACAAAGTATCATGACTTCATCAGATAGCTCAGATCAAGGTGAGATCTTAAAAAGAGGATTCACCCCAAATATAAGTACAGCACCAGCTAGCTTTGCAGGCTTCTTTCTAGTGAAGAAGAGATATCAAGTTTACCCTGTCATAGCTATTTGCCCATTTGACACCTGGTGAAATTGTGGTTTCTGATGGACAAATACTTAATGTGGTAGCTGTCATTGAAACATTTGGTATACAATTTTCAAAGACAAGCTAAGTGCAGTACTAAGTACAGTGCTTAAATTCTGTAAACTAAATATAGTACTTAAATTTTGTTGAAGAAACTGCATAAAGATTTCAGGTAAATTAGAGGTATGTAGTTTTCTAGGTAAAGAGTCTCTCGTTTTTTCTTTAGAGAGTGTTGCTCAGAAGCAAAATGAAGCCTAAATTAAAAAGACACCATGTTTTAAATGTGGTTTTAAGACCACATAAAAATGAAGAAACAGCCATATTGGTCATTGGAAAAAGTTACCAGAGAGAGGACATTTAGCCTATAATTTCCTCCTCTGCTTTTCTCTAGGAGTGTTGAAACAATACTTTCAAGTAATCCTTAAAAGTAATACTTTCAAGTAATCAGGTGTCTGCACGTGCTTGTGACCTTCCAGAAATCTTGAAGTCAGAGACATTAGGTAAATAAAGAGCTGGACTGAAAAGGACAATACTGACTCTCGGGTCGCATTGACAGCATGTATTTGTCAGGTTATGCACTGTTTGAGAATGAGATTTCTCGTGACTATCTAAGCTCACTCGACCCCACAGGGCTGGGAGCTCCCCGGGGACACCCGACGGCCGGGGCCGCCAGCACCCTGCAGAGTGGCGCGGGGAGCCCCGCACCCGGAGCCCCCGGGATTGGCCGTCTTCGCCCGCCGTCCGGTGACGTCACGCCCGGACGGCCGAGCCCAGAGCTGCAGCGAGCTGGTTCCGTCAGGTCGGCTGGCCGGCGACGCGCTACACACGGAAGCCGCCAGCGTTCGCGGCCGAGTCTTCGCCGCAGTGGTTTCGTCCGCGGGCGGTGCATCGCGGGACACAGGCCTGTGCGGGTGGAGGGCGGCTGCGGGCGCCGTGAACCTTGAAGCGGATGCCGCAAGGGAGGGCCCGCGGCGGGGGACGGGCGGCGCCGGAGGGGCTGGCGGCGGGGCCTCTACCCGGCGAGCCTCCCTCAGGCCTGGAGGAGTACAGAGAGCCGGGCTCTAGCTCTAGCGGACGGTGGTGGAGCAGGCGACCAGGCCCCAAAACATCGAGACGCCGCAGCCTGCGGGTGAGCCTCACCGGAACCGCGTCCGGGCCCGTACTTCGCCTCGGCCCCTCGGCCCCACGACCCCACGACCCCGCGCCGGCCGGGCCCTCGCCTCAGCCGGGGCCGCCGGTGCGTTGTGGGGGTCACCCCCCGAGTTCCTGCAGTCCCAGCGAAGGCTGGAGAAGCGTTCGGCTTCCGGTGTTCAGGAGCGGGCCCGCGAGGGTGAAGCTTCCAGTTGGACGTGACCCCTCCTCTTCGGGCTTCTCTGGCGTCTGACAGGTTGTCAGATTGAGTCAGGCCGTAGGCATTGTCTAGAAGTCTTTATTCCCAGAAGGGAATCTCCATTAATCCGACCCATTTTTTGGGGGGCTGATTTTTGTCGCCTTGCCTTACAGCAAAAAATTTCAGACTGAGTTACAGTGTCGCTGGTCTTGGATTAGTGAAAGTGACATGATCTGCTTGAATCTTGTCCAAGAGAGGCTAAGTAGGTAAAAATAAAATCTGGCTTAGTGCAATCTTTAGGACACTTTCCATCCCTCAGTCTGAATGCAATTAAGTCTCTCCCTTTCACCCCCTCTTCCCTCTTTCTTTCTATTTTTTTTGGGGGGGGTTTAAAGATAATCTCACCACCATCTGAATGGTAAGGTAGCAATTTATCATTACTCTGTGATAAGAAATGTTCAGTTCATTGGATAGGATCTTTAAAACTAGTATAACACATCTTCACTATAGAGGACATATGGACAGGAAGGATATTTAGACCTCATTTTAATTTGAATTTCTTTGAGGGAAATTACTACTGCCCTATGTGGTGATTTCTTGTCCTTGGGATGTTGATATTTATTCCTTGGGTGCTTTTCCTTCTCGCTCTCCTTTTTTTTTGGGGGGGGGATGATATAGTCAACATAAAGTTCTTTTTTTTTATCTTCTAAAACATAAGTCTGAGATAGTTTAGACTCAAAAGAATTTGTCAGGAATAATACACAGTTTACATGAATGATAATCTCTTTCAAACTTCAATATATCAGAACCAGGTTAATGCTATTGATAAAAACTCAGTGATCTTGCTCAAGTTCTCTCGGTTGAATTTGTCTCTCTGTGTGTCTTTTGTTCTGTCATTACTATAGTCAAGATGCAGAACACTTTCATTATTGTAAGGATCTCTTGTGTTGTCCTTTTGTAGCTACAGGAGCCTCCTGATGTCCTTAACCATGGATAATCACTTAGCCATCAGAATTTATCCATTTCTTTAAAAAAGTTATTTTAGAATTGATAATATTTTGTAGTTGTTTCCTATAGATTGTCTTTATTCTATATGTGTTGTGTGTATATTTATGCACATGCACACATACCCATCACAGTACCCAGAACAGTACTTCACACAAGGATACAAGGTGTTTCATACAAACAAATTAATTTGATGAGAGCATTTTATGTTTTTTAAAAATTTTTTTCTCCTTGATTTATATTGCCCTTTGTGAATGGGCACTTATTATGTACAGAGATTTACTTTTTGGACTGTGTATATATATATATATATATATATGAAGTCACTTTTAAAATGGGAAAATAATTGATATTCTAGAAATTTAATGAATATGTAAATATACATAAATTTTAATATACAGAGTACACAGCTCCCTCCCTAAAAACCTTCCTTTCCTTCATAGAGTTGTTTTGTTGCCCAGCTTGGCCTCCTTGCGTTCAAACAATTCCCTTGCCTTAGTCTCCCAAATAGCTGGGACTTACTATGAACCACTGCACTCATCTTATGGAATTTAATTCAGCCAGTAAACTAAGTGATCACCAAAGTATATGCAATTTAGATTTCACTGTATACACCTATGCCCTGTCTTATGGAGAAATAGAATACAAAAGAATATGACCTGTAACTTTTCCTGATGCCATCCTAAGACTTTTTTTCTTTTCCTGAGTTTATTTTGAACCTATTTCATACTACATAGATTTGATTTAAATATTCCTTTAGTTGCTTTAGAGATTGACCATGCATACCTCAATATATTTATTCATTGAATAATAAGTATTATAAAATCTTGTATTTAGTAGTCAATAAGCTTAATCATTCAAATTTTAAGAATCAACACAGATTTTAAAATGCTTTTGAATGAATCACAGTATGTGTGTACCAGTTATATATTACCATCACTTTTTTCAGGTTAATATCTTCCTTTTGATAGTGACTTTGTACAATGCATTTTATATTGACTTTGACATATTGTCTAATTATACGTGACGATTTTTGTTTTCTCTTTTTCCTCTAGTACACTGTTGGTAAATGTGTAGTATTAAGGATCCAGGGTGATATGAAAAACATTTTCTATGTAGGAACCCTGGTCAAACAGTAATTCTCTTGCTGAGAAATTGGAATTATTATATGTGGAAGAGAAACTAAAGGTGAAGATTATCCATGAATTTTTGTTGGATTTTAAATCTCGTGGTTTTTATTGTATTTTTGAGGTACTAATGAGAGAATTTGGCATACTTATGTGTTGCAAGATTGCTTCAGAATAATTAAAGAATAAATTTGATTTCTAATCAAAACTATTACTGTGCAAAGTGTCTGTAATGTTGCAGGCTTTTTCTCATTTAGGTTTATTCCTTGTAAATTAAAGGAACACATAAGAGAACATTAAAAAGTTTAATATTCATTATAAAGTCTTTTTATGTACCCTCAAACACTATCTCTGAAACATTACATCTTGTAGCTATTTAAAAATGAATTTTGGTACTTTCTTTCTGAATAATCAACAACACATGACTGCAGTAGTAAAGATAATACATTGTTACTTGTACCAATTATAAAATGTCAGCAATTGGAGGTAGTTGGTTAGTTATAAAATATAAGAAAACATTTTGTGGCATAGTGGAATACAGACCACTCTTAAGTCTGTCAGGAGGTCTTCTGAAGTAAGCTAATAAAAATTCCAAGAAAATTCTTTTTAAACTGGCTAGCTACATAAAATACACTTCTTCTCAACCCGTTGTTTATATAACTGGGAGTGAAGTCTATAATATTTTACAAAAAACTATAGTAAAAACATGGTCAATACTTATGTGCATGTTCTGAAGAGTTAAGAATAAAGTTTGCATAATACTTTATGCATCTATATAAAGGTATTTTGCTAATTTAGGCAATTGAATGGCTTCAGGATTTAAGAAAATAATATATGGTAGCTGAACAACGTGGCATGAGTTCAAGGCCAGGTTTGGCTACATAAGTGAGCTCAAGGTCAATCTGAACTATTTAGAGAGACCCTGTCTCAAACGAAACAAAGCTATATATATATGTATATGATTTTAAATTGCATTTTTATGGAATAAGGTGAAAAATTTCATGTTATTTAGTACTTCCATATGCTATTATAAGGAAGAGTTCCTAGTAGCATTCATAATATACTTAAGACATATCTCACTATGTATATGAACTATGATTCTTTTACAGAACTGCTGTTTTGGGCAGGGATGTAGCCAGGTGGCAGATTGCTTGTATTGCATGCACAAGCTATCAATCTCCAGTACCACCAAAAATCCCCAGAAAAACCTGCTGTTCTAAAGGATATTGTACATATTTTCACTTCATATTAGTTTTTATAGAATAGACCAAATTGGTTATAGGTGTTAATAGTATGATATATAAGTCTTTATTTATTGATTGCTTGATTGTGGTGGCACCAGGTCTTCATACCTGCTAGGTAAGTACTCTTCCACTGGGCCATTGTGCCAGTCCTTGATTCTTATTTCTTTTTTTTTTTTTTTTTTTTGGCAGAACCAAGGATTGAACTCAGGCCCTTGCACTTGCCAAGGAAGACTTATTCCACTGAGCCATCTCCCTGGCCCCTTGATTCTTTCTTTCTTTCTTTCTTTATTTATTTATTTATTTTTATTTTTCAACAAATAATACACTGCATATATTCTTCTTAGTGGTTAATTGCTGTACAAGATGCGGACTTGTGATCCTATTTACAGACACCATTAGAACAAATCATTCTATTCATTAACAGAATGTAACTATATATCTATCCCAACCACTTTGAATACACAGATACAAAATGGACATTCATCTGTATACCCCATTTTTTCTAAGTTCCGTTATTGAATATTATAGGTGTGTAAACTCAGCAAAATATTCTAAAAGAGTCCAGTAGCCCATAATAGCATTGGGTCTTCTGTTTAACTGGCAATGTCAGAAATTATTGACCTGAGTCCCCCACAGCTCAACTTAACAGCATGGCTTTATTTCTTATAATTTCATCTTCATACTTTTCTGCTGGATGGTTAAGAACCAAGGTAAAGCAGGACCTATGCAACAAGAGTTGTAGCTTTTTGGTCTGAGAAGGTCAGTGGAATGCCCTCAGGATTTGTCCTGAGATCCTGTACCTCAGATTGTAGAACCTTTATCAGTGCAGCCATGTGGATGAGTCACGGCCAATGCTTGGCCAATGTGCTCTCTGTGAAAGCCTGAGAGAGTATCTTCTCCCCATGTGACTCTCCTTAGGCCCACTCTATGTCATTGATCACTTTCCTCTTTGGCCCCATAATCTTCTTGATCAGAAAATTTGGGACACTACCGAGGTACATGAGGTTGCAGTACAAGTTCTCATATGTCCTGAGTCTTAATTGACCTTAGAAGGCTAGTGGCCCCTTGATTCTTATTTCTACTATTGAATATACTGTTTTTTTTTTTTTGTTGTTGTTTTTTTTTTCGGAACCAGGGATTGAACTCAGGCCCTTGCGCTTGCCAGGGAAGCACTTATTCCACTGAGCCATCTCCCCGGCCCCTTGAATATACTGTTAAATAGTACATTTGGGGCCTTTGTTGGAATCTTTAGTGATACTAGCTTCTTGCCAAGGACTTGTTTTGTAGATACTGTGACAGCTATTGGCTGTTATTTATGGACTCTGAAAATTTTTATGTATTCACTCATTGTGGACTGTGAATTCCTGATGGACAGGCAGGTAAAAAAAGTCTTTTTTTTTTTCTTCCCTGCTGTGCTGGGGATTGAACCTAGGACCTTGAACAAACTGAGTAGAGACTGCTGTTACATCCCTGACCTCTGAAATTTCTTTTTAATGTTATATATGGTGTTTTGTTTTCTTTTTTTCCCTTTGCTCTCTTTTTCCCTCTTCCTTCCACCATTAATGGAGTTCCTCTTGTACATCTATATTTGTAGGACTAACCTACATTTAGAATAACAGTCTCTATGCTTAATCTGTGTAAATGGTAAGAACGTCCTTTTAAAGAAAAGCACCTGGGGGGCTGGGGAGATAGCTCAGTAGAATAAGTGCTTGCCTGGCAAGCTCAGGGTTCTGAGTTGAATCCCCGGTACCACAAAAAAAAAAAAAAAAAAAAAAAAAAAAAAAAAAAAAAGGCACCTGCGGACATGAAGCACTAAGAGGCAATTAAGAACTAGATATTTGAATGGTATATATTTAGTACAGGGTCTACAGAGTCTTACTACATAGATCAGAGTCCTAGGGATTCTCCTATTTTCAGCCTCCCAAGCTCTGGGATTATAGGCATGTGTCACCACATCCAGTCTCAGTTGCTCTCTCAGCGCACCCTGACGGTGGGGCCAGCACAGCATGCCGGGGACAGAACCCCAGCTGCTGCACTTGGCCTAAGCAGATGCTTTAGTCTGCTGAGCTATCTGCCTGAGGCAATATTTTTGAGAATTTTTTTCAATTAAGCCTTACTGAAGGTCATTCACTGAAGAAGATTATTCCAACAAAGGTATTTCAAACTGATACTTCAGGGTTTTGCTCATTGTAAATGTTGGAACTTTTTAATTTTTTTATTTTTGGCACAAGGTCTGGCTAAATGGATAAATTGCTCAGGCTGGGCTCAAATTTGCAGTTCTTCTGCCTCAGCCTCCTAGATTGCTGGGACTACAGGAGTATGCTACCCTGCTTGGTTTCCTGTGTCAACTTTTGGTAGCTATTCTGATATCTTATTACGTGCTTTAAACTTTTGGTTGTGAGATCAAAAGTTATCAAAAACGCAAATACATAAATAAGCAAGATCTACAAACATTTTGGGTTATTTATTTATTTATTTATTTATTTATTTTTGTGGTACTGGGGATTGAACTCAGGACCCTGTACTTGCTAGGCAGGAGCTTATTCTGCTGAGCTATCTCCACGGCCCTCTAAAAACATTGTGCAGGAGCTCTGTCCCACCTGTAGCTAACTAGCTTGTGTGGAGTTCACACTTGGCAACTCTGGCCTTATGGAAGATCTAATCTACCCTCCTCAGACATAAAAATTATGACTAAATGAAATTAGAAATTCTGAAAAGCACAAGTCATAGTATCAAAAGTGTCTTTGATAGGGGCCAGGGACGTAGCTCAGTAGAGTAAGGCCTGCCTAGCAAGTTCAATCCCCAGTACTGCAAAACAAATAAATAAAAACAAAAATGTCTGTGATAAACATTGTTTCCTTTATGTTATCCAGTGGCACTGTTTCTCTTATTTTGGTCTAATCATAACTGTTACTGTGAATTTTTTTTAAATTCTATTTTAAATGTTTCTAGATATAATGTGATAAAAGAACATAGATAATAATTGTTTTTATACATTACCAGTTTTTGTTTTTAAAGACAAATAATGAGTTTAATAAACTGGTATAGATTAAGTCTAGAAAACTGTGGGGTATTTTGTTCTAGTCTGAATTCTGTCATTCCCTTTCTTGTAACCTTGTATTCTGAAGAACATCAATAAAGCAAAACTAGCAGTTGACCATTTTGCAGACTTTACCAAAATGTAAGTTTTATTGGAGTCTCTTTCTCTAATCCTCAAATTCCAGTACATATTATTTGAAGATTATCAATAAAGATTGTCTGAATTCTAACCTTGTTTTACCATTTTGTGTGACAATTTACTTAGCTTTCTCAGCTTAGTTTCTTCATCCAAAAAATAGTTATACTAATAATGTCTACTTTTTGGATTGGTTATGAGAGATAAGTGAATTAATACAGAAAAAAGCCCTTAAACAGTGCTTGCATATGGTAAATGCTTTGCAAATATATTACTTTTATTGTTGTGTTGTACTGCTTACATATTCTATTCTAGGATGAATATTATGTATGAGCACTAGTAATATACATATTTCCTTACCTCAAGGAATTTATTTGGCAATAATATTCATGTAGCTTTTTATGAATGTTGAGTCCCTAGCTAAAAGGTCCTGTTAGCTCCTTTGGCTAAGAAAGCAATCCTGATAAAATTTCTGAAATAAGCTGTAAGTTCAACTGGAATGAGAGAGAAGATCAAATGGAAGACTTCACTGAGAAAAAGACCTAAAATGAGCCTTGAAGATAGGATCTGGTGGGAAAGCCTACCTTGCCCCCTTTTCTGCTGGCCAGCACTAGGCCTTATACTATACGCTACCTCTTCTCTCTCCACTCCTCTTTACAACCCTGTCAAGTTACATAGCTAATTAGTTGCTGAATTAAAGGTTCAAACTCGAACTCTATCTTACTAGGTTTTAGTGGATACTTCCTATTTTTATTGACTTTTACCCTTAGTTTTCTTATCTACGTATGTACACTGAATTGTATGTTTACTTTTACATTTGAAATTTTGGGGCCGGGGAGATAGCTCAGTGGACTAAGTGCTTGTATGGCAAGTGCAAGGTTCTGAGTTGATCCCTGTACCACCAAAAAAATAAAATATTTTGTGTATTTCTGCTCTTTTTTTATGGAACCAGGTATTGAACTCAGACCCTTGGGCTTGCTAGGCAACATGCTTATTCTACTGAGCCATCTCCCTAGCCCCTATTTCTGCTCTTCAAAACTTAACTCAGGTGTAATATCTTTGGTGAGGCCTCTTCTCGATATGATCCCAATAATTCAACAGACTGCTGCTTTGGCACTTGGGAGACTGGCCAATTACAACAACAACTTAGTAGAAACAGTTGTAAAGAGAGACATTCTCCCATAACTTTCTCTCCTATGCAGTAGCAGAGCAGAATTTAAGAATTTTTTTTTGAAAAAAACTTTTACATTGTTTGAGATTTGGAAAATAAATTGATAGTTTGGGCATAGTTGTAAGCTTTTAGGGTATTAATACAACTTAAATTTTTTATGAACTGTGAATAATATTTGTAGGGTATTTTGTTTGGGGGCTGATATGCAGATTTTGTCTATTAATGTAAAGAGGTAATTGAAATGCTTTTAGGAAATTGTTTTTAGTGAGTATTTTTATACATGGAATTTTTTATACGGGAATTTTATTATTATTATTTTTTATATCTGTAGTGCCCCTCAAAGAAAGAATGGCCACCATGAGGCCAGTTCAAGGTCCTTTTGAAGAGCTCTTTTCTTTCTCTCTCCGGTATGAAAGTCACACTACAACTAGTATAATGTATACGGGAATTTTAAAGAAAGCTGTAGAATCTATCTTAGGGAAGCTAAGACTTCCTAAAGCTGTAGGACTCCTGGGCAAACAAATAGTTGGCTTTGAACAGTCTTAGACATAGATGGACTTTAGTACTATACCAGGAAACAGCCTTGAAGCAAGGGTAAAAGGTGAGAATATGTTTAATGCAAAGTGTGATGAAGCAGTTTTTATTAAGTAAATAAACATGTAAAATCGTTTAAGGCATTGTCTAAAGTACTCCAATAAATTCTCTTCCTATATAATACTATTCTACATTTTTATATCGTGCCATTATTTGATTTAAGGATCCTGTAGTTAGGGTCATGGAGTATTGATCCTACTCAATTAGTTTATCATAATATCTTAAGTACTTGTGAGGTATGAAACTCATCATAAGCTCAAGGCCACCATGGGTAATTTGAAGAGACTGTCTCAAAAAATAATAAGGGCTGGGAGGTAGCTTAGTAATAGAGCAGTTGCCCAGCATGAATGGGTCCTGCATTTCAAACCTCAGTCCTGTTTAAAAAAAATACACCAAAACAACTTTTGTACAAATATTCAGAGCAGCATTAGTCACATTAATCAAAAGGTGGAAATAAGTGCATCACCAGAGGAGTGAATCAAATGTATATCTGTACACAAACTATTACAGTCATTCAAAAGAATAACTTGGTTACTTTTCTCTCATAGCTGAGTCAAAATAACCAGTGTGCAAAATTAAGGAAAGCTTTATTTAGCTCAGTTTGTTGAGGTTTCAGTCCATAGTCAGCTGGCTCCATGGCTGAGGGCAAATGGCAGAGGAGTAACAGTTCATGGTAGTAAAAGAAAGAGCAGGAGCTAAAAAGGAGGAGTAGAGAAAGAAGACTTTCCCCTTTATATTGACTATTCCCCTAGCTACCCTAGGGTGGCTATAGCACCCACACCCATAATCCCAGCACTAGACAATGAATCACTCTAGATTCAGCCACCCCCATGACTGCATGAGGCTTTGGGGGGACATCTAGGCACAAACTACAACATTCCACCCCTGGCCCCCCAAAGATTCTTGTACATCCTTTTATGCAAAAGGCATTTTAGTCCACCTCTAAGGGTTACCAAAGTGCTAACAGTTTCAGCATTGCTGAAAAGTCTAAATCCTATCTTTAAGATCTAAGTCAAACTCCTAGCTGTAAGCCCCTGTACAAATGAGAAGTTGAAACACTTGTGAGTGGAACAAGATAAACATTTCCATTCCAAAAATTACTAACAGGGATACAAAGTAGTGGAACTAAAGCAAGTCCAACATCTAGTAGAACAAAGATTAAGTCCTATAGTTTGATGTGGAGCATCCAAAGTAAGCTGATAAATTGTGAGCTCCAAAGTCCTTGTGTGGCACTGCCCCTGTGGCACTTCTGGTGGATGTAGCTCCTGTGGCTTTTCTCTCAGGCCTGCTTTGCTCCCTTCTTGCATCTTTCTTTAGATAATATCTGTTCTTGGCTTCTCCAGCTTTCTGGAGTCTCCAGTGCACCTTTGATTTCTCATTCACAGACTCACATATTGCCCTCTCAGGGGCACACTGCCTGACCTCCCAGGCCTTTCTGAAATCTTGGTGGAAGCCTTCTTAACCCCATAAGTCTTGAATTCTTCATGTATCTAAAACCAGTGCCATGTGGATGCTGCTAAGATCTGCTGCAAGCTGGAGCAGTAGTCAGTCTTCTTTCCCCTTGACTGTAGGGCTCAAGTGCCTGGATTACTGAGCACTCTGAATACAATACTGAGGGACAAACTAATCTGTGCCACTGCTATTCTGGCACATAGTAGCAGCCACCACCATTGTGGAACATGATGCTCTGCAGCTTCTCAAAGCAGTCTTTCTTTCACCTTTGCAGTTTTGAGACTGCAAAGGGTGAAGACTTGCTTCTTGTGATACCCTCAGACATCTTTTCTGTTCTTTTACTTCTCATCAATGGAGATCTCATCAACTCTATCTTTGTAGCTTTGCTGGAGCTTCTTTTCTGGACATACTCACATTTTAAATCATTCTGCTGGGTTCTTTGCTCTTGATTCCCAACACAAAGTTGTCTAAAAGTCCCCAACAATAGCCCAAAGCCGTACCACCCCTCAACATTAAACTGCCTTGAAAATTTTTTTTTCAAGATGAATTAATCTGCTGCCCTTTATCTCAATCTCAGGCAGTGTCTCTCAACTTGAGAAAAATGCAGACAAACTTTCTGCCAATCCATAATGCACATCATCTGGAGTCCAACAGCCAATGCAATCATTCCCAGGAGAAACTCCCTGAACCTGGTCTTTACTGGCAGAATTTCTAAAAAGGTTCTGATCTTCTGAGCTCTGACCAGAATCTCTTACACAGAACAGTCTAACGTGTTCCAGCTCTACTCTTTCAGGTGATCTCTGAACTTTGCACTCTCCCTACAAGCCATTCCCAAAGGTTCTTGAACCATGCGATCAGGTATAGCCATAGCAATGACTCCACTTCTCTGATACCAAATTCTTTCATGGTTACTTTTCTTTCATTGCTGAGGCAAAATACCTGATGCTCAAAATTAAGGAAGGAAAGGTTTATTTAGCTTACAGTTTGTGGGGCTTTCAGTCCATAATTAGCTGGCTGCAAAGCAGAGTGGCACATGGCACAGGAGCAATAATTTTTTTTAGATATGTGTTAAAATCTTTGTTTTTTTATTCCTATTATCTTATTATATATTTTATTATATTATTATGATATATTATTTTAGCCTAAGAGTAGAAGGCTTTCAAAGAAGGTGTTATAGTTAGTTACCTAGTCACTTTTTAGTAGTCACTGTAAAGAAATAGTAATTCAGAATGTAAAGTGGGACTGGGAAGATGCTCAGTAGCATAAACACCTGCTTGGCAAGTGCAAGGTCTGGAGTTCCATCCCCAGTACCACACACACACACACACACACACACACACACACACACACACACACACAAACAGGAAAAGCAGCAAGAGCAAGAAGGGAGGAGCAGAGAGAGGACTCTTCATGTCTCTTGTATTGTATGTAGACCAGCCATCCTAGGATGGTTGTATCACTCACATCCATAATCCCAGCAGTGGGCAATGAATCAAAAATTCTAGATTCAGCCACCTTCATGACTGCATTATGCTTTGGGGGGATATCTAAACACAAACCATAACAAAGAGTAATATGCTGATAAATGCTACAACATGGATGACTCAAAAAACAGTATGCCAAGTTAAAGACTTAAAAGGTTACATATTCTAAAATACTATTTAGATAAAATTGGTATAATATGGAAAGTCATAGAGACAGAAGTATATTTGTGATTTCCAGGAGTTAGGAGAAGAAGCAGGGTAAGAAAGACCACTTAATATACCAGGCATTTCTTGGGAGTGTGATGAAAATATACCAGAACCAGATAATAGTGATAATAAATTGACAATAAATATATATATATATGTATTTAAATGTATTAAATTGTATTTTAGACAGTTAAATTGTACTGTCTAAAACAGTAAATTGTTATGATATATGTATTTTACCAGAATTAAATAAATCCTAATTGTATAAAATTTTATTTCTTTATATATTGGAGAGTTACTAATGCCTTCACAAGGAATCCCAAAAATGTGATTTTTGTTGTGGATATTTTTTCTTTATAAAATGCTGTTAGACATTCTTCTTCCTGGACCCTAGTCTCTTCCCTTTGAGAGCAGAGTCTGTATCTGTGCCCCACATAAAAGCTTTGAACATGCATTTATTAGTTGTACAGAAACAAAACACACTAGGCGGAAAGTGAGGAGGCAGTGAGAATACAAAGCATGACTCACAAGCTTTTGGCTCTTTCACCTACCAGTCCATAAGTCATTTCTTGTGGGAGGTTTATTGTCTTTTTTATGAGGTACAAAGTCCCATGGTTTTGCTTTTTTTCTCTTTTAAAAGGTAGTTCTTTGGATGATGAATAGCAGAGAGGAACATTAGAAATTTGGAGGAAGTAAAGAGAGAAAGAGAATTAGAAAGTATGAATTACAGGCACTGTAGTGGCCATTAAAACCTATAAAGTGTAAAGTTGACAATTCTATAGAACAAAAGGTCAAATTAGCTTCACAAATTGACAAATGCATTATCATTTTTATACAATTATATGAGAACAATCTATGGAAAGCTACTTGAAAATGTTACTCTAAATTGTTTTACAATAAATTAGTAGAAATTGGATTACTGCCATAATTCAGGAAACTAAAGAAAACACATCACATGAAAAAATTAGTGCTACTATAACATATTTCTTATATTAGCAGTATAGTTCAAGGTTAGTAGATATGTGTTAAAATCTTTGTTTTTTCCATTCCTATTTTATTATATATTTTATTATATTATGATATATTATTTTAGCCTAAGAGTAGAAGGCTTTCA